ACTGTTATTATCCCCTTTAGGTAAGGAAACTGAGACACCAAGGGATTAAAAACTTCCCCAAGTTTACACACTGAGTAAGTGGTGGAGCTTGTGAGAATCCCTTGGGACCTGGGCCTCGTCCCTTCCCTTCTGGTCCTCAGATCTGCCTTGCTGGGGACCAGTGCCTCAGGCCCCGGTCTCTCTTTCCCTCCTTCTCCCTGGCTCACCTGAGCTTAGGGTGCTTCCTTCTCCCGGGTCTTCTCATGCAGACCCATGATGGAAGATTTGGCAAGGGAGGTAAGGCAGACCATCCTCTTCCATCCAGGTCGGACAAAGAGAGGCTTGGAACAGTATTTTGGGAGAGTTCCCACAGTTCCCTCACTGCCACCATCATCCTAGTGATGGGCAGTGGCCTCGTGGCCTGGTCCCTGGCCCCCACCACACTTGGTAGGTAGGTGGGCTGCCTGTTGCATTGCAGTCTAGCACATGCAACAATGACCCTTTTCAACAGTGCAGGGGAATTTCAGATGCAAACTGTAGGGGGCCAAAGCAAGTCACAATATCCTTTCTAAGCTTAGCATGGGCTTAAAATATTGTACGATCCCTTTCAGGCATTCCTTGTCTCAGGGCCTATGGCTTTTGGTTTGGGGAAGACCCTTCCTTCCTTCAGATGTGGGCCCTCAGGGCTGTGGTCCTGGGCCCTTTGGCCTCCACTGCTCTTGTCCAGGCCAGAGCGGGAGGACCTTTCTCGTGTGACTCTCTTGGCTTCAGGTTGAACCTGCCATGTACCGTTGCTGGTGGCGCCTGGCAGCACCCTAGGAATCCTGTTTGCTCTCCCTGTCTCTTCTCTGGCTTGCTGCTTGGGCACCTCCCCTCCTGTTCTTTACTTAGCCCTGTGCTCCAGATTAGCACATGCTTGGTTTCCTCTCTCCAGGCTTCGGTACCCCACAGCTGTCCACAAAGCCTCTTTGGCTCTTCATGGCTCTGCCCCCAAGATGTCAGCCAGCCTGTCGCCTGACCAGGTTGAAGGTCTTGCTTTCATGGCTTGGGCTGGTTTTTATATCCATTCAGGGATTTCTGATAAATATATACCTGATGTCAATTACCAGTCTTCATGGGAAATTCTAATTATGTTTCTCTTAGAAAAAAAATTTTTTAATTGAAGTAGTCAATTACAATGTGTCAATTTTCTGGTGCACAGCACAGTGTCCCAGTCATGCATATACATACATATATTTATTTTCATATTCTTTTTCATTAAAGGTTATTACAAGATATTGAATATAGTTCCCTGTGCTATACAGAAGAAACTTTTTAAAAAAATCTATTTTTATATATAGTGGCTGACATTTGCAAATCTCAAACTCCCAAATTTATCCCTTCCACCCCCTCTCCCTGGTAACTGTAAGATTGTTTACTATGTCTGTGAGTCTGTTTCTGTTTTGTAGATGAGTTCATAGTGTCCTTTTTTTTTCTTTTTAAATTTTTTCTTAGATTCCACATATGAGTGATATCATATGGTATTTTTCTTTCTTTCTGGCTTCACTTAGAATGACCATCTCTAGATCCATCCATGTTGCTGCAAATGGCATTTTTCTTTTTTTATAGCTGAGTAGTACTCCATTGTATAAATATACTACAATTTCTTTACCAGTTGTCTGTCAATGGACATTTAGGTTGCTTCCATGTTTCTTGAATTTAAAAATACTGTTCTTTCCGCTTTACTTATTTTGCTGATTTGAATCCAGTTTTACAGATGAGGAAACCCTTTTCAGAAGGTGGGTTGGCTTGCCTAACACGAGCTGCGAAGTGCAGAACTGGGATGCAGGTTGTGTGCGATTCCCAAGGCCAGATTTGTTTTACTAGGTCAGTCCAGCTCCAGCTGAGGGATTTTGTGGAAGCCTGGAGATGGAATGCAAACCCAGGCTTTCTGGCTACAAATTCTCTTTTGCCTAATGCCCCACACTCTTAATTAAATGTCTAAGG